GTGGTGATGGGTGAAACCCTTGAGATGTTATACACCTTTATGTGATGAGCCACGCCCTCCGCAATATTCATTGCCTTGTAGAAGCTCAGTTTTAGTAAGTTTTCCAACTTTTGCCGAGAGGGAACTTTAGATATTGGTCCCTAGATTATGTTCACCCAGTTTCGTGCAGATCGGTCAAACTTCCTAGGAAGAGATCGATTTTAAGTGTTTTTCAAAAAATTCAAAATGGCGGAAAATCCATATCACCGGAAGTTGTGGGTTCTTGAGGCAGATTTGTTCCTCATGAGGAGAGGCATCTCTGTGCAAAGTTTCATGTCTCTACGACATACAGGGCATGAGGTATGCCCATTCAAAGTTTGCAATTTCAATCGGTTGCTATAGCGCTCCCCTTTGGCCAATTGATGTAACATTGCTTCATTCACATCCTCCCATGACCCTCTACCACTGTGCCAAATTTCACATGGACTGATCAAGTCAGTGAGGAGAAAAACCATAGAACAGACACACACACAGACAGAGTTTTTGTCAGGATATAATAAGATAATAGCAGCAAAATATCACATGCCCACACAGGACAACACACTGTCACATATTTACCAGATGATTAGACTGATCCACAGTTAATCTGTCATGTCCAAGATGATGGGAAGCACTCATCGCCTCTTAAAAAAAAAAAAGGGTGGAAAAAATCATTCAGTGAGATTTTTGTCTTTAATCACATTTTCAGTTTAAGTCTTTCCAGTTAAACACATTCACTCATGTACTGCGCTTAATACAGCTTCAGTGTTATAGTGATAAACACTGATTAACTCCACCAGAGCTCTCAGCAGTCGGCTAAAGCACTTTGCTTGAGGGCATCTGGAAAATGGCTCTGAAATTAAATGTTCAATATTTCCTGCTGCCACAGGATATTATGGTGGGACATAACTCAGAGGGACAAACAGTGTTACCAGCCAGTTTGCAAAATGTTGTTTTAAATTCAAAAACATCACGTACAGTATAGTGACCTCAGGTTTATAATAACACTGTGACAAGAAAAATCAAACCAGCGTCTAACCAGGAAAAGAGACTGAACTGACTGTTCCAATAGGTTGGTTTCTTTTAAATAGAATACCACTCCATACAGAGTATTAGGCCCAATCCCAGTTTACCTTTTATCCCTCTGTTTTGTGCATTCACATCTTGGGGAATGTCCTGATTCTTGTTGGGATAGAGGGGTAGGGCGAAGTGTTAGAGCTACATGGACCTCCAAATGGAGGTTTTTTAGAGACTCACTCCAAACTCAGTGTGAAGAAAAATAATCATCAAGATGGCTGCAAGAGCAACAAAAGAAGCCCACAATTGTTGTTTTTGCTTTGTTAATGAAGTACTAAAAAAAAACAATAACCGTTAAATTAAGATAATGTGATGTTTATCGTTTTTTTGCTGGATATATTTCAATGTCACATTCCCCCGTTTGATGGCATATGATGCCCAAAATAAAACTTAAGTATATCAGAGGAGGAGTTGCTTGTTAACGCTCCTCTAATGTCAGTGCAGGCTGGCAGGGTAGGAGCACGGGTTACTAACGAGTTAGCCTTCAGAGCACCGCTAGTTTCCTGCTAATGAAGCAGTGTTTTTTTCTATGCCTCCGCACCGCTGTCAGCCGTGGCTGGAGGCATTATGTTCTCAGGTGGTCAGTCTGCCCGTCCATCCCATTCTCATGAACGCCCTGAGGGAATTTTGCACAAACGTCCATTTGGACTCAATGATGAACTGATTGGATTTTAGCGGTCAAAGGTCAAGGCCATTGTGACCTTGTCTGTACTGTATCATTCTTGAACACGATACGTACCGACCACTTCGAGGGAATTTCTCGGATTTGGCACGAATGTTTACTTGGACTCAGCAATGAACTGATTTTAGTGGTCAAAGGTCAACTTCACTGTGACATCATGATGTCCTGGAAAAACATGGTCATCGTTCAGCGTCATAACTCAGCAACAGAAGGGGAAACATTTGGTCAGATACTGATTTGGTGACACTAATCTTGGGTGTCCACCTTGAAACTGTGCTGATTGTATCGTCTTTGCCGCCATGGGGAAGATGTGTGTGAGGCATTCGTGATTTCACAGACATGGATGTAAACTGTGACTGCAACTTGACTGGTTTTTAGAGGCATACAACTGTGATGCTGTAAGTCTAGTTATTTGATAACTTGTTTGATCAGTTAATAGCATGAAACTTAAGTAGTGAACAAACTGCGAGTGTTCTGACATCTGCAGAAGGCTACCTGTAGCCCACGCAAGATAAAGCAACACTGAAGAATACTGCATACTCGCAGTGTCTGGCTGCACTTATCATGTCCCTTTACATAAACCCCAGCAGACACATGACGTATCAGGATTGTTTCGGCCCACTATAACCCCTGGCTGCTCCTCAAAACGTTTTCACTGACCTGAAAGTAAAAAATGGTGACCCTACCTTTGCAGTGTTCGCAAACTTTCCTTCGATTTCCGTAGAAGATAAGGACGACAATCACAGTCACACAGCAGGCCAACAGGACTCCAAGAGCAAGGACAACTGGTTCAAGTTCTGATCCTGAATCAAAGCATTGAGCATTATTTAATAAGCGACTTTTGGGAGTCAGTGGCACAGTGGCATTTGTCAGCAGGCACAACTGGTAAGTCAATGTTCAATTTACTATTTAGTCAATCAATCATTCAGTCAAGTATCTGCTCTGTAAATGTAATGTGATACAGTAAGAAAAGAAACTAACAGACTCATAATCATTATATGTGACAAACATTATACATTAACATAATTTAACCAGGCTAAATTAATTCTTACATGATGCATATTTGACTTAAATACAACTGTAAACACGTACTTGTTTCCACTTTAGTTCCTTCACCAAACAGGATCTCTCCACATGTGACCACAGCACAGTAGTAAGTCCCAGTATCAGAGGAGGTCTGTATAGTTTTGGACAGACTGTAGTCACAACTTCTCTCCTCTTGTTTGTCTCTGTCAGTGTAAATGATGCTTGGATGAGATTCTCCTGATCCAGATCTGAGCCAGTACACTCTGTCTTCATCTGGACACTCATCTTTGTTGGTTTTGTTCATGGAAAGAAGTGAACACTGGAGATTCACTCTGTCGCCTGGCTGGACCGACTCAGTGTCCAGACTTTGTTTCACATAGCAAGATTTGTGTTGATTACTATCTGCATGAGTCAGGAAAAGAAATATCAGAAGCACTTAATGATCTAAATTGTTTGTACAACATAAAAACTTGGCACGAACACTGAAAGTAAAAGTTATTTACCATTCACAGCCAAGAAGATGCCTTCGCTGAAACTCCATAAATAGGACGCTCCATAGTGACAGAAGTATGTTGCTTCGTCCTCTTTGCTGACATTTGTGATGGTAAGAAGATACTGAGCAGCTCCTTTTGTTGCTTTGAACCGTGGGTTGTCAAACTGTTCACTTACTGTTAACTGACCCTGAACTGCAGCAAAGACTGTTCGGACCATATATCCAAGAGACTGTTTGTACCAGAAAAAGAATTTGCCTTCCTTCTCAGAAACTGGACACTGCAAAGTAACATTCCCACCAAGTTCAACCACAGTCAGAGAGATCTGATGAGGAACCTCTGCAGTTTGAAGCAGAGCTGAAGAAAAGAGACAAACAGTAGCAGAATTACAACATGAGGGGACAAAGTCAAAAGGTAAAGTATTTGCCATTGACATCATCTTTCTCTCTCTGGGTAAGAATTGCACTTACACCCTGTACTAAGAAGAATCAAAGCAGCCAGTCCTCCGATCATTGTGGTACAGCACCTTGGTCTTGCACTGCTGATGTCTTCCCACCCAAATGAAGATTTAGTCAAGAGGCGATCAAGGTTTACAAAGTAGACATCGCTGTGATTGGCTGAACTGTGGAAAATGATCTTCCCCCTCCTTACAGTTAGCAAACATGTGATCTGTTTTCATTCGATGGGACGTCTACACGTTGTTGTTGTTGTTGAGGTTTCAAAGCAGTGTCTTTATTCTCACCACATGACTGAATTTATTGTTTCCATAATAACCAGCATTGTGCGTGTGGGTGTGTTTTGTGTGTACGTACTGTGAGAACAAGCACTGGAAGTCTTTCAACAGCAACATCTGTCTAATTGACACACTTAACTTAAACGTTGTGATCACTGTCATGTTTTAGCAGCACACGCACAAGGTCGTACGTTCACATGCACATGATGACACAATGCACATTTTCTGCCATATTCATGCCATTCTATTGGTCAACAGTTGTTGAAGGTTACATGCAGAGAAATGTAGCAATGCAGGAGGAAGACGTCTCTTAGCTAGCAAACACAGCTATAAACAATGAAGGTTCAAAGGTATTTATAAAAAATGGCTTCATATGTTTTATAAGAGAGTTACTCCTCCAGGAAAGACACAGTGTGTTTCCTTAAACATAACTGAATTTTTACAAGTTAATTCCACAGCCTGCCTTAAATAGAAATAGAAAAGCAAATCTCTGGCTTCATTAGCAGCTGTAGAAGCAAAAATCGGTGCCTGGAAGTGGGCCAGATGGCACCCGACCTCGTCTTCTACTTCTCTTGCAGATCTTCCTCTGAGTTGTTTTAGTATCTTAGGTTCAGTTGGCTGACACTTAGAGAAATACTGGAGTCAAATAGAATCTGGTGCAATCGAGTTTAATGTGTTCACAAGCTTTAACACATACAACTCATTGAGTCAGACTCCGGAGCAAGACTGAAGTTTCACTGTTTGCGCTCTCCCTTTTATGCTGGTGAAGATTCGAGAGAATCTCCACCCTTTTCCTTTAGTCCATCCTACCTGTGTTCGTATCTATTGGTGGCAGGTCTTTTTCTTTTTAGCCCTTTTCCATCTGGTCCAAATCTATTGGTGGCAGGCCCCTTGGGCCCTTGTCCAAACATGACCTAATGGTGTAATCTCCGGGCCCGGAAATCCCCAAATTCTCTCACCATTAAATTCGAGCCTGGTTTCACTTTATTTTTTAAAAACATATGAAACCTGGGGACTTTCTTTATACTGTCCCCTGTGCTTTCATATAATGTGAACTTTAGAGTGTGTGTCATGCAGTACAAACATTAGAGTGTATGTGTGTTATCATCAGACAGTACATGGTGTGGTATATGTGTGCTTTTCAATGTGAATACATAACCTTGTGTTATGAATACATAGACTTGTATAACAGCGTTTTATCACACATTGATGCATAACAAACAGTTTTATAGGAACTTATACATAAAACATTGTTATATGAACTTTTACTCTTAATCAACTTATGCAGTTTAACACCTTTACCTGATTAAAAATTAAATCTTACACTACACGGCATGAGGCTGTACTTTCCTTTGCTTCTTGTGGCTGTGCTAAGCTACAGTAAGGAAAAGTCATCCTGGAGTTAGAGTGAAATGTTTGATATTTGTTTAAATTTGAACATCCAAAGAATGTTTGATATAATATTGGCTACAGCGTAGGATGTAGCCTGCAGGTTTGATTGACAGTTGCAGGCGAAAGGTGAGAGGAAATGTGGCCAAAACCACAGAGATGTAAAAACTCACAGGTAAACATATGTGTGAGAGAAAGAGGGCTCTCTCTGTTTGTCCCAGACAAGTTTGTACAGTTTGTATTTTACATGTTGTTTTGCTTTCTAAACACATCTGAAACTTAATTGCCCTCAGTCCTATTCACAGAGAACCCCTCCCCCCACATCTGTGTTTTATACGGCGCACACAGGATAAGAGATGTCTGTATTTTACATTTATTTACTGATTTATCCTCCATATATGATGCACAGTCATTTCTAACTGCACTCTACACAACACAAACACTACACAGCACCACAGCAGTGTTAAACAGTGTTAACCTCCTTTTTTCTTTGAACCGATTCTGTCACATCATCCATCTCATTATCTTTTAAGCTTGCTCTTTCTGCAAATGGGTCCCCATGCTGTGTAGATGAGACTCCTGCACCCAAAATGCTGTCAAAACTTTCACTTCTAAACTGGGAAAAAGGCCGAAACGCGTGTGTGTGTGTGTGTGTGTGTGTGTGTGTGTGTGGTTTCAAACGTGAACTGCTGTGTATCTGTTCACCACAACTGGAAAATTTGTTGAGGCATAGCTAACACATATACATCCTGATATGTTATTCTCTAGACACAATCAATCTTGCTATGTCACAAAAACAAGATGTTAATAAGATAAACTAATATTCTGATATACTAAATTTGTCAGGGCATAACTACTGAAATGAATGAACCCCTCCATCTCTCTGGTCTCACAGAACTTTGTAAAGACCCTCTGCATGTCAAGCAAAGCCACATGCAACAGCTACACTGACAGACACAGGCTGTGGTGGGCCGTTTCTCCTCCCTTTGACCAACCATCAAGGCTGTTTACTCAGAACAGACCTGACGATGGGCTTCAACAGGATGTGTAGTGAGAGGAGAGATACAAGAGGCTTCAGCAGGCTAACTTTAGTTTCACAAACTGAAATGATTGATTTACTTTTACGTGAATGTTATTGTGCTCATTTAAAGAACAAATCATGTCCCTTTGTTTTGTGTTTTTAAAATGGAACCAAAAGCATCTGAAACTGTGGAAGATGAGCTTAAGCTTGTTTTTGATTTAATTTTAAATGTTAATATATTGATTAATTCACCATTTATGTGGACAGGCTGTAAGTCCATCACTGAGCCAAGTGATGTACACTGGAACAGACTTTAGTGAGTAAACCTCTGAGTCAATAATCAGGAAAACTAAAGATCACACTTCAAACTCTGCTCTTGACAAAAACACCAGGGTGGGACCAGTGAGTGATTAACACCTCCTCCTTCTGACAGCTACCACCAATGACAAGCACCAAACAGCTGAGAGGTTCAACAAAAGTGTGTGTGTCTGTATGTGTGTGTGTGTGTGTGTGTGTGTGTTTGTGTATTTTTAAATCATTAGAATAGACCTAATAATGAAAAAATTCAAAAGCCCTGGAACTACTAACATGTCATTAAGTTTGTGCATTAAATCCCTCAAAACAAACACGACATCGTTAATCACAAACACAAGTTTTGGTCCTCTTTGTCTTTCGAGCAGCACATTTTGTGTGACTGTGTACAAGAGACAGAACACACTGGTAATCAATTGAAGGTGGAGCTCATTTCAAATGCTTTAAATACTGCTGGGTGGAATAAAATATAATTAACATTTTTGACATCACAATTCATAATTGATCTGTAAATAAAATGTTTAAACATCTTTCAGGGGTAAAAAAGATGCCAGAGTGCATAGAAAGCATCAAAATAGAGCTGGTTCGTAAAAGAAAAAAAAATCTTGGGGGCGGATCCTAGAAACGATCCTGTGTCCAACCCTCCTGAACCATTTACCTTCTCCTCTAAATTTTTGTTTTATGAATGCTATTCCACTTTCCTTTTGACAGCAGCAGTAAAGCCCAGCGTCCTGAGGCTGAAACACAGAGTGAGAAAGGTAGAACAGCCTCTTTGTACTGACACCTTAGTTTGAACCTCGACCACACCGATGCTGAAGTTTCCATGCAGCATTTATCTGTCAGTGGTAAATATAAATGTGTGTTTGTGTGTGAAATTACAGAGTGTGTTTTGGCTCGTTGTCAACAATATGTTGACCCTGATGAAAACCACAAACCACAACCTGCTGGTCTAACAAATGTTTCAGCAGCTTTGGCCCTATAGATAGATGGGCTTCCTGTCTTTCTTTTGTCTTTCTCCAAACATCTTTGTACTGGACTGCAGAATATTCTCAGGTGTTCCTGTTAATGTTATAGAGATGCTGTCAACCATACAGTTTGTTGACACAGGATTGTTTTAGTGGTTTTCTCCCAGGGTCACATGGCTTCTCTCCCTCAGATAAAAACATGTAGGTCAGAAACTCTAAATCAGCTCCAGGTGAATGTTCCTGTGATACTGTGAGAGTGTCGCTCTGCTGCTGTCTGTCAGCAGCTCTCTGAAAAGAAGTGAAGTGAGTATAGAGGATGGATGGTTTAACAGCCCTCCTCTGTACGCTGTGCTCTTCCTGCTGATGTGACTGACAGGCAGAGTGGGCGGGTCATCACTGA